GTGTCCTCTTGAGCATCTTTTCCCATCTCCTCTTAAGCATCTTTTCATACATCTGTTGGCCATCTGTATATCATCTTTGGAGAAATGTCGATTCAGGTCCTCTGCCCATTTTTTAATCAAATTGTTTGTTTTATTGGTGTTAAGTTGTATGAATTTCTTATATTTTTTGGATATTAGCCACTTATCAGATGCATCATTGGCAAATAATATCTCCTATTCAGTGAGTTAGGTGTCTTTTCATTTTGTTGATGATTCCCTTTGCTGTGCAATTTTAGTTTGTTGTAGCCCAATCTGTTTATTTTTTCTTTTGTTTCCCTTGCCTGAGGAGACATATTAAAAAAAAAGTTACAAAGAGCAATGTCAAAGAGTTTACTGCTTATGTTTTCTTCTAGGAGTTTTATGATGTAGGGTCTTACATGTAAGTCTTTAAGCCATTTTGAGTTTATTCTAATATATGATGTAAGTAGGTGATCCAGTTTCATTCTTTTGGGTGTATTTGCCTGATTTTCCCAACACCATTTATTGAATAGACCGTCTTTACCCCACTGTATATCCTGTCACCTTCGTCATAGATTAATTGACCATATAGGTGCGAGTTTATTTCTGGGCCCTCTATTCTGTTCCATTGGTCTATGTGTCTGTTTTTATGCCAGCACCATGCTGTTTTGATTACTATAGCCTCATAGTATAGTTTGATATCAGGTAATGTGACACTGCCAACATTATTCTTCTTTCTCAACATTGCTTTGGCTATTTGGGGTCTTTTGTGGTTTCATATTAATTTTAGGATTATTTGTTCTAGTTCTGAAAAATACCGTTGGTATTTTGATAGGGATTGCATAGAATCTGTAGATTGCTTTGGATAGTATGGACATTTTAACAACGTTAATTATTTCTGTTCATGAGCACGGTATATGCTTCCATTTATTTGTATCTTCAATTTCTTTCTTCATGTCTTATAATTTTCCAAATACAAGTCTTTTATCTCCTTGGTTAAATTCATTCCTAGGTATTTTATTGTTTTTGATGCAATTGTAAATAGGATTGTTTTCTTAATTTCTCTTTCTAATAGTTTGTTATTGGCGTATAAGAATGCAATCGATTTCTGAATATTAATTTTGTATCCTGCTACTTTACTGAATTCATTTATTAGCTCTAATAGTTCTTTGGTGAATTCTTTAGGATTCTCTATATATAGTATCATGTCATCTGCAGATAATGACAGTTTTACTTCTTCCTTTCCAATCCGGATGCTTTTTATTTCTTTTTCTTGTCTGATTGCTGTGGCTAGGACTTCCACTACTACACTGAATAAAAACGGTGACAGCAGATACCATTGTCTTGTTCCTGATCTTAAAGTAAAAGCTTTCAGCTTTTTCACCATTGAGTGTGATGTTAGCTGTGGGTTTGTCATATATGGCCTTTATTATCTTGAGGTATATTCTCTCTATCCCTACTTTGCTGAGAATTTTTATCATGAATAGATGTTAGATTTTGTCAAATGCTTTTTCTGCATCTATTAATAAGATCATATGATTTTTATCTTTCATTTTGTTTATGTAGTATGTCACATTAATTGATTCATAGATATTGAACATACCAGGAATAAATTGCTTGCATACCAGGAATAAATTCTACTTGATCATGTATACGATCTTTTAATGTATTGCTGAATTGGTTTACTAATATTTTATTGAGAATTTTTCATTTATGTTCATCAAATATATTGGCCTATAATTTCCTTTTTTTTTTTTTTGTAGTCTGTCTGGTTTTGATATTAGGATAATGCTGGCCTCATGAAATGAGTTTGGGAGTCTTCCCACCTCTTCAATTTTTTGGAATAGTTTGAGAAGGATTTGTATTAATTCTCTTCTGAATGTTTAGTAAAATTCACTGGTGAAGCCATCCGATCCAGGGCTCTTGTTTGTTGGGAGTTTTTTGATTACTGATTTGATTTTGTTAGTAATTATTGGTCTATTCAAATTTTCTGTTTCTTCCTTGGAAAGTGTATATTTTTAGGAACTTATCCATTTCTTCCAGGTTGTCCAATTTATTGGCACATAATTGTTCATAGTTATTTCCTTATTTCTGTGGTGTTGGTTGTCACGTCTCGTCTTTCATTTCTGATTTTATTTGGTCCCTCTCTCTTTTTTTCTTAATGAGTCTGGCTAAAGGTTTATCAATTTTGTTAATCTCTCAAAGAGTCAGCTCTTGGTTTCATTGATCTTTTGTATTTTGTTTTTAGATTCTATTTCTTTCATTTACACTCTAATCTTTATTCTCTCATTTCTACTCACTTTGGGTCTGTTTCTTCTTCTTTTTCTAGTTCTTTTAAGTGTAAAGTTATATTGTTTATTTGGGACTTTTCTTGTTTCTTGAGGTAGGCCTGTATGGCTATACATTTTCCTCTTAGAACTGCTTTCACTGTGTCCCATTGATTTTGGATCACTGGGTTCTCATTTTTCATTTGTCTCAAGGTATTTTCTGATTTCTTCTTTGATCTCATTGTGAACCCATTCATTGTTTAGTAGCATGTTATTTAGCCTCCACATGTTTGTATGTTTTTCAGTTTTCTTCCTTTACTTGATTGAGGAGCTCATTCTTTAGTCTGGAATTTCTTAACTGCTCTTAGCCTGAGGATGAAGACCTGAGAAGTATTTAAAAGGATGTTATTGCAGGCAAATATGCACTTTTAAAAAATCATAGGATTTATAAAATGCTAACAGCAAGAATGCTCTGTCCTATATTTTTGAATATTAATATCAGAAGTAGGAAAATCACAACTCCCTCTGGCTCTTCATAATTTTCTGACTAGGAGAAGAAGAAGGCAAGTGAGAAGGTTTAGGGGAAGACCTGGTGTTCAACTTTGAAGTCTTGGAAAAAACCCCACACTTATTCACTTTTTAGCTTTCAGCCAATACATTTTACCTGAGTATAATTCATCATTATTTTTACATTATGATTATTGGACATTCAATAAATAATTTTCTTGAGTGCCCGTTAGGTACTATGTACTATTCTACATAAAGGGGATGTTGTGGTGAAAAAAATGCCAACATTTCTGCCCTATATTTTAGGGGGAAAAGACACAAAATGTCCAACTAAGGAAAATATATAGTAGGTTGATGGAGATTGGTGGAATGGAGAAAAATATAGCAGAGAAGGGGGCTAAGGCGTGCCAGAAATCAGGGCTATGATTTTTAAAAGTGGCCAGAGATGGCATCCTGCAGAAATGGACATTGAAGCAAAGATTTGAAGTTGGGGAGGGAGCAAGCTTAGGGGTATACTGGGCAAGAATGTTGTGGGCAGAGGTCATTGCAGCTGGAACTGAGTAAGCCACGCAAGAGGAGATGATGTCAGAGCGGGTAAAGGGAGTGGGTGGCAAGTCCTGTAGGACCTTGCAGGCCATTGGAAAGGCTTTAACTCTTACTTGGAGTGAGCTGAAAAGCCACTGTAAGACTTTGAGAAGGAACCTGACATGATCTGACTTATTATGTTTTAGAAGGTTCGTCTGGCTGATGGTTGAAACTGGATGGGCAATTTGAGAGGTTATAACAATAATCCTGAAGAGATGATATTTCAGTTTGTACAGTAATGTATATGCATTTCCATGTATTATGTCACCCTTTTTCTTTTAAAACAGAAAATGCAAATCCAAATAATTAAGAGAATACTTATGTTTAAGTAAGGGTGGCTTATTTCTTTTCCAATGTCCTTAGGATTATACAAAATATAAAATATGAAATTATGTTTAAAAAAATCAGTAAGTAAAAAATACCATAAAACTCAGTTATCACACATTTTGCGGGCAGATTTTGTACAGACATTGAGAATGCCTGAGCAACTGCAGTCTTCAAAACTCATTCATCTCTCCACTAACCTCTGATGCTTAATAGTGTTGAAAAATTATGGCCATTATTTGAGTCTTGCCTCTTTGTACTTTCTAGCACCCCAAGATAACACTGACTTAGGACTCTGGCAGGAATTCCTTTTTGGTCAGATAATTTTAAGCTCTCTCTGGTGACACCAGGTGGAAGGGACAG